GCGGGATGGGCGTTGATGCGGATTGCGGGAAGGGCGGGGCCAGACTCAGGGAGTAAACCAGGAGCAGCCTCCCAGGCTCTGCTGCACTGCCAGCGGCAGATACAGGCCACGACATGAAGCTTCCCCTCCTGCCCTGCGCCCTACTTCTGCTGGCGACAGCCCCCAGCCCAGGCCCATGGCCTACAGCAGGTATGCCCCCTTCTGTCCCCTGTCTGTCCATCTGTCTGTTGCAGTCGAGCCCCTGGCAGATGCTCCTCTGGGCTGGGCCTCTATCTGTCAGGCCATCTGTGCCTGTACTGGGGGCAGTGGGAAGAAATTGGGGGTACAAGGGCCACCCAGTGGGGATGGGGGTCTAGGCGGTGCCCAGCATAAATCAGCTGGGAGCTAGCAGCTGTCTGGGAAGAAGGTGATCAGGCAGTTGATGGGCTCAGAAGAGCTCTTGGCCTGCACCCCGAGCCCCGGTGCAGGATGTGCTCCCCATGAAGGAGCCCCCTAGTCCCACTGGCCAGAGGCAGGATAGGATGTGACTCCTTGTCGGGGTGGAGCCGAACCCCAGAAAGTCTAGTGAAAGAACCATGCTTCAGAGCCAAGACCATGGCCCCTCCACGGAGCTGGGCCAGAATTTACAGGCCTCCCAGCCCCCAATCTGGCCCCTCTCTTCCATTGCAGTGAAATGCTCTCAATCCTCCTGCCACTTAACTCACTTACTGGCATTCCCTCAGCCCCTCCCCTACCTCCTTGAGCCATCACATCCTCAGTCAATAAACATTGATGCTCTTGAGTACCAGCCCTGCGGCTGGGTGAAGTGAGGCCACCAGAGTGGCTCAGGCCCAGGCCTGGCCCTTGACTGGCCCCCTTTGGGGGGGTGACAGGGAAGGGCCAGGTGGGACGTGTAAGCCCAGCCTCAGTGCCTGCACCCCACCCAGTCCCCACCCTCCAACCCACGTGGCTGTGCCAGCCTGAGGGACCAATCCCTTGAAAATGGTTCTGCTACAGGACCCCATAGATGGAGGAAAAGTCTGGGGCCTGATTCCACAGTTTCCCCCGCTCCAGACTACTTTCCCATTCTGGCCCTGCTGGGTCTTCTGCTGGGAACGTTCTTCCCTAAAAGGAGGGGCCTATCCCTCACCTTCTCCGCAAAGGGTGGGGCTCCTTTTGGGGCTGCAATAAGTAAATCAGCTCTGCTCTGCAGAGTGAGATGCAGAGCTCAGCCCAAGCATCTGCCCCTACCCAGCCTCCAATGAGACGCATAGTAGCTGAGTCCCCACACCTTATACCACCAAGCCAGGGGTGGGGGTGGGGGGATTCTCTTCCAGGCTATTGGTCCACAGACCCTTCAGGGAGTAGAGACAGGTCCTTGGTCCAAGTCCCAGGCTCAGGCATCTGTGGCCATCTGAGAATGCCATTACCTATAGAACTTGGTGGCTGAGGGTCAGTCATGCCCTGGGGGCTCATCCTGACACTGCAAAGTTGTGTCTGGAGATATTCCCCCTTATCTCCCCTCTTTATCTAGCCAGTCCTTCAGGTGAACTATCACATGATCTGTACTAAGCATTACCCCACCCTACAAGCCCTGTGGGTTGCCACTGTGTCCACATGGCGGTCAGTACAATCCCTACTGCATTCTCCTGGGCATGCTTCTCTCTAGTAGGCTCCCGGAAAACAGATGTGGGTCCTGCGTGTGGGGGAGGGGGGAGCCAGCCCAGCACCCACCAGGGCTGTGCACTCAGAGCCCTCTCCTCTAGGTGCCCAGGAGAGCTGCTCCCAACGCTGTGGGGACCCAGGCGGGCAGTGCTCCTGCCACCCGACCTGCTCCGGCCTGGGCACCTGCTGCTCAGACTTGCGGGACTTCTGCCTGGAGGTCGTACCCCACTCGGGCTCCATGATGGGTGGCAAGGACTTCGTGGTGCAGCACCTCAAGTGGTCCAGCCCCACCACCAGTGTGATCTGCAGGTGGGAGGCCAAGGGGCCATGCATACTGGGGGACCGGACTACTTGGCTGGCTGGGCGGAGCCCCGAGGACCAAGGACAGGGACAGCTGGTTGGATGGGTTCCCCAGGGACGTCAGGGGCCCAGGCCTTGGAGAAGGTCAGCCCACCCTGGACCAGCCTCTCATGCCACCTCTACTCCCCACAGGTTTAAGGAGAGTGTCCAGACCCTTGGCCACGTGGACTCCTTCGGACGTGTGCACTGTGTGTCGCCCCTGCTTTATGAGACTGGCCGCATCCCCTTCACACTCTCCATGGACAACGGCCGTTCCTTCCCACGCTCAGGCACCTGGCTGGCTGGTGAGCCCCACCTTGCTGGTCCAGGCTGTGGGCACCAGGCCCCACACTCTGCAGGCCCTGTCCCCCACCCGCCCACCATGGGGACTTTCCCCAGTACTAACTTATGCACACCTGGCCCGCCCACTGGGTCCTGATACTCTGGCTGAACCAGTCCCTTGAGAGGCCTGCCTAACCACAGGGACGAGGATTCCTGCCCTGGAATCCAGACAGGAGTCTCAGCCCAGAGGGAATGGGGGCTACAGAGGTCACCCAGCAAGGTGGGCCAGGCTAGGGAAGGGGAGGAGGCAGGTGGAGGCCAGAGACCTGAGCAATGGAGGGCAGGGCCCTACCTCTTATGCCCTTTCCCCACCGTGAGGGTCTGGGAGGCACCATGGCTCCAGCGAGACTGCCATGCTTTGTCCTTGGGAGGCCCCCAGAGCTCTTAGAACCTCAGGACCTCCTCCACTGGACCCCCTGGGCCCCAGGCCTTTTCTCACCTCACCTCTCTCTCCCAGTGCACCCCAGCAAAGTGTCTGAGACAGAGAAGAGCCAGCTGGTGAACGAGACCCACTGGCAATATTATGGCACCACTGGCGTTGGAGGTAACCTCTCCCTGACCTGGAACGTCTCAGCTCTCCCCACAAACTCTGTCACCATCGAGCTGTGGGGCTATGAGGAGACAGGTGAGGCACTCTGCGGGCTGCTTCTGCAGGGTCTGGTTGGGTCAGAAGCTTTAGGCTTGCAGAAGTGAAAGAGAATTCCAGGCAGGGGAAGTCCTATGGATGGGGAGGGGGTCCCAGGTAGGGATTGGAATGAGGAAAGTGCAGAAAAGAAAGAGGAAGTGGAAGGGGCAGGGTCATGAAGGGCCAAGCTCGGAACAGGGCAAGGAGGCTGGGGCCCCCCTCAGGGAGGAGGTGTGGATGGCTGCTTGGTCTCTGGATATAGAGCTTGTCCTGGAGACAGAAAAGTCTTGCTCTGCCCCCTACTCTCTGAGTCTCTAGATGGCTGACGTAGCCCTGGGCCTGTCCTAGAATAGGGACAGTGACCCTGGAGTGTGGGGGAAGGAGGTCGTGATCACTTGAGCCAGGGTCCTTGTGGGGGCAGCAGGGAAGCCCTCCTATGGGGATCATCTGTCTGTACGTCTGTCCCTCAATCAGGCTGCTCTGCGCACCAAAGACTGGCGCCCGCCCCTCCTCTGCCCCGGGGTCCTCAGACAGGCCCCAGGGCTGACTGGGCCCTTCTCTCCCTCAGGGAAGCCATACTCAGAGGAATGGACGGCAAAGTGGTCATACCTGTACTCTCTGGCCACAAAAGTCCCCAACTCCGGCTCTTTCACCTTCATTCCACAACCCGCACCTCAGCAGTACCAGAGATGGGAAGTGGGTGCCCTTCGGATCGTCAGCAGCAAACACTATGAGGGGGAGAGGTGAGGGCCGTGCAGAGGATGGGTCGAGGGCTGGCTGCCCGACGGGAAGCCGGGGCCAGGGGCAGAGGGGGCAGCCCTTAGTGTGCGTGTGCCCCCGCAGGGACGTGCAGGCGCTCTGGAGCAATGAGCACGCTCTGGCCTGGCACCTGGGCGATGACTTCCGGGCAGACCCCGTGGCCTGGGCCCGAACTCAGTGCCTAAACTGGGAGGAGCTAGAGGACCAGCTGCCCAAGTTCCTGGAGGAACTGCCTGACTGCCCCTGTACCCTGGCCCAGGCCCGGGCTGACTCTGGCCGCTTCCATGTGAGTCCCCACCCAGGTCAGGGCCCAGGAACTAACTGGCAAGGGGGCAAGTGGAGCCAGCTGCCCCCACCATGGACATGGCTATGCCCACCCAGAACAACAGCAGGGAAGGCAGATAGAGTCCCCTGGGAGGTGGGGCTGAGGTCTAAAGGCCCCTGTGGGGGTGGGTTAGGGATGGCAGAGCCGGATGCTAGGGTGGGCGACAGCAACCTGCTGCTCTACAACAGACTGACTACGGCTGTGACATCGAGCATGGCAGCGTGTGCACCTACCACCCAGGGGCTGTGCACTGTGTGCGCTCTGTGCAAGCCAGGTGAGCCCCCAGATGGTGGTTGGGGCACCAGGCAGAGCCCGGGGGCAGGATCGCCAGCGGTGGGCCTGACCTGTCCATGCCCCCAGCCTCCAGTACGCCTCGGGCCAGCAGTGCTGCTATACCGAGGAGGGCACGCAGCTCCTGACAGCTGACTCGACGAGCGGCAGCACCCCGGACCGTGGCCACGATTGGGGTGCGCCTCCTTTCCGAGCGCCGCCCCGCGTGCCCGGCCTCTCCCACTGGCTCTACGATGTCATCAGCTTCTACCACTGCTGCCTCTGGGCACCCGAGTGCCCCCGCTACATGCTCCGGCGGCCCTCCAGTGACTGCCGCCACTACCAGCCCCCGCGCCTGGGTGAGTGCCAGCCAGGGTGGGGCCCAGGGCAGGACCAGACCAGGGGAGCCTGCCTGACTCTCCGCTCTCCCCAGCCTCTGCTTTCGGGGACCCGCACTTTGTCACTTTCGATGGCACCAATTTCACATTCAATGGGCGTGGCGAGTATGTGCTGCTGGAGGCTGCGCTGACTAACCTGAGGGTGCAGGTGCGGGCCCAGCCGAGGACGACGCTCGAGGGTGAGGCCAGGGCCCAGGGGACTCGGGGTGGCTCTGAGTCATCCCAGGTGGGAGCCTGGAGCCAAGTGGACCCCGTTCTGCACCCACCACCCCAGGCATTCAAGACCGAGGCACAGGGCTGACGGCTGTAGCCGTCCAGGAGGGCAACTCAGATGTGGTGGAGGTCCGGCTGGCTGGTGAGACAGGGGTCCTGCAGGTGCTGCTAAACCAGGAGGTGCTCAGCTTCGCCGAGCAGAAATGGATGGACCTGAAGGGTGAGTAGCATGGCTGGGCAGGGTCGGCGGGCTGCCCTCGCTCCCTTTCCCTTCCGCCTGGGCTTCCACGCCTCTCACTGGCCCTAGCCGGAGGCAGGGATGGTGTCCAGAGCACAGATGTGGAGACGAAGGCCTCTGGGAGCTTGCTGCAGGGCGACAGTCAGCCCTCTCCCCACAGCTAACTGCAGAGGGACCTGGCACAGTGGACACGTGCCTCCGGCCCATGGCTCTCTGTGCACAGACATGGTTCCAGGCCCCAGGTAGCAAAGTCCGGTAGTGGGGACCTGGTCTGATCTTGAGCCTTTATATCTATGAAGCCCTAAGACACACCCTGGTCAGAGCCCCGAGATGCCAGGATGGTGAGATGGGTCCCCACTGACAGGACCTGGGAGGTGCAGTGCTTGCAGGCAGCTGGCCTCAGGGTGAAGGAGTGGTGGCTCTCTCTATCTATCTCTCTTCTCTCAGTAGTGCTGCTGCAGGGAATGAAATGACTCCCAGTTGGGGTGGGTGGGGACCTGGGGTGGGCCTGTTGGTGCTGAGGATGCAGGGATCCCCAGATAGAGCAGAGGCGAGCATGGCTGCTGCCTCCCAGTCAGAAATCAAGGGCCAACTGGCTACCCCCATGTGTGGCCTGGGCATGGGGGTCTCTTTGGGGTCTGGGCACCTCACATCAGCACAGGGGCTCCTGGCACAAGTATGGGCCCAGACTGCTGGAGTGTCATAGTCAGCAAGGTTGATCCTGGGGACGCTCTCCCTTTTTCCTTAAGCCCAAGGGCACCAGCCCATTGGAGGTGACCTTGACCTCAACTCCACCCTGTGCAGGCATGTTCTTGTCGGTGGCTTCTGGGGACAGCGTATCTATCATGCTGTCCTCGGGGGCAGGCCTGGAGGTCAGCATCCAGGGTCCCTTCCTGAGTGTGGCCATCCTGCTGCCCGAGAAGTTCCTCAACCACACTCAAGGGCTCTTTGGAACACTCAACGACAACCCCACAGACGACTTCACTCTGCGCAATGGGCAGGTCCTGCCCCCCACTGCCACATCCCGAGAACTGTTCCGGTTTGGGGCTGACTGTGAGTGATCGTGAGGACTGTGCTGGAAGAAGGGACAGGATGGGATGGGGGGTGGGGAGCGGTGGAGGTCAGGGGGAGACCCCATACCATTGGCCACCAGCCAGGCCTGCTCCATGTCTCTGCAGGGGCCGTGGAGAACGCCTCCTCCCTGCTCACCTATGACTCCCGGCTTCTGGTCAACAACTTCCTGTACCGTCCCAAGCATGACCCTACCTTCCAGCCCCTCTTCCCCGAGGAGGTCACCCCCAGCCCCAGCCAGGCGACTGAGGCAGCCAAATTGTGTGGGGACAACCATTTCTGCAGCTTTGATGTGGCAGCTACTGGGAACCTGAGTGTAGGCAATGCCACGCGGTTGGCCTACCAGCTGCACCAGAATCGTGTGCAGAGTCTGCAGCCAGGTAAGGGCTACAGGTGGGCCCCCCTGCAAGGAGGCAGGCACTTCACACTGGGACATGGCACCCCAGGCCAGCGGCTGAGGCGGCCAGTCGCTCAGGACTGTCAGCTATGTCCTGTTTTACCCCAGTGGTGTCTTGCGGCTGGCTGGCCCCGCCCCACAATGGGCTCAAGGAGGGCATCAGGTACCTGAAGGGCTCCACGGTCTACTTCCACTGCAACAACGGCTACAGCCTGGTCGGGGCAGAGGCCAGCACCTGCCTGGCCGATGGCTCCTGGTCCAGGCCCACCCCAACGTGCCAGCCAGGTGAGGATGCCCAGTCCACCTGCTGCCCAGCCTGGTCTGGCCCCGCCCACATGCTTGCCCCACCCACACATCCCTCCCAGCTGCACGCCAGGCCAGCCTGCCCTGGGCCGCACTCACCTCTCCCGCCCACTCTCCAGGGCAAAGCCACACCGTGCTGCTGAGCATCGTCTTCGGAGGGCTGGCAGTGGTGGCTGTGGTCGCGCTCATCTATATGCTACTGCAACGCAGGAAGAGCAACATGTGAGACACCCCACCCCACCCCGAGCCCAGGGGCCTACCTGCGGGGCCAGGCTCTGGGCCCCTAGGGCACCCGTGGGACCGCCATGCCCACTCACACCCGGTCTCTTGCAGGGCCATGTGGACTTCGCAGCCCTGAAGAGAGTGCTCCTGGCCAGAGACGTGAGGGCACCGGGCCACCCACCCTCAGACCAAAGACCAGCCTCCCAGGAGAGCGCTCCAAACTCCCAAGACTGAGCAACCCAGCAGTTCGATCCCCTAATCCATAGCACCTGGGACCTGGACACCTGATACCTGAGCCTTTAATGCCTGTGGAACCAAGGCCCGATGCCCTGCTCTATCACCTCAGACCCAGACCCTGAGCTCTAACTGTGCAGTTCCTGAAGCCATTACCCAAATATTTGCTCTAATTCCGGGCTCTAATTCTCCAGACTCGAGACTCCACACCCTCGACTCTAATGCCTGTCTGCTGAGTCCTAGTACTCCTGCACCTGACACTCAGTTGGCAGTACCTCAGCTCCTGTGTCCAACGCCTGTGCCCCTGATCCCTGAAATACTGATACCTGGTGCCACAAAACCACAGCCCCAGCACCCAAGCTGCCTTGATTCCTGGACACTGGGCCCAGCCGAGACTGCAGATGGGCCCAGCTCAATGCGTGAAGAGACCCCAGTATTCCAAAGTGGAGAGTCATTCTCTGAGTGCCAGGCTTGTGATTCTAACTTCTGGAATGTCACTTGAAACACCCCTCTCTGCCTGAACGAGGAGAAAACAAGCCTGTTGCTCCCTCTCCCTGGTGTCCTGGTGTTCATGCTGTCCCTCGGTTCTAGGGTTCTACAGTTGCCCTTTGGGGTCCAGAGCGACTTGGGTCCGAGTCTTTCATCTGCCAGATCACCTGAGACAGGTCCCTGACCAGCCTCTCTCCATCTGAAAATGGGTTCGAGAACAGTGATGGCATCGTGGGGTGGGGAGGACGGGTATGGTGTTTGGGGAAGGTAGACCATGGGGGTACCATGCTGGGTGCCCAGGAGTTAGGACAGAGCCAGCCTGCTCCTTCACCCCAAGCAAGCTGGCCCAGCCTGGGCCTGGGCCCCCACCCTGCCCAGCACCCCCCCGAAGCCAGTCACTAATAGTGGTAGGCCCAAGTCATCTGACCCAGGTCCGTGTTCAGGGTTCCTAGGCCTTCCACACAGTAGTATCCAGAGGCTAAGTACAGAGCACAGGCCTCACGCCGCCTCTGCCCACCTGCACCAGGGCCAGACAGCGCGTGCAGAAAAACACAGGCTAGGAGTTGGCTTGAGGACAAGTGAGACCCAGAGTTTTTTGTGGTGAGGGAACTGAATAGGGCCCATGGGAGGGTCTAGACAGGGTAAGATGGGGTCATATTTGCATTGTAGGTATCAGACAGAAAGCACCAGGGAGGGTGGGGTTGAGGTTGGAGCCCCCTGAACCAGGCAGCAGCTCAGCCTGAGAGGGGCCTGGGCAGGAGGATAGCGTGCCCACAGGATGAAGAATCCTGGGTGGGAGGTGATCAGCGGAGGCCCTCTTCGCTATAGCTTGCAGCACCAAGAGTGACCACGTGGGGACAGCAGAGGGTAAGAACAGTGAGCAAAGGCGGACACCTCACCAGGACCCAGGCCATGGGGAAATGCAGTCAGCCCCAGCCCTGCAGCTGGCCCAGCAAGCTTGTGGTCATAACCTCAGCCAAGGTTCATGCAGGCCCACCTCTGCATCTCTTCTCAGCTTGGAGGGCTTCAAGTCATTCCCCCAGTCTCACAGGAGCTCAAGTCTCAGAGAGCTTGCACAGGTCGCCCCTAGATTGTCCAGAAGACACCGACCACCAGGTTGGAGCCCAGGCCTCCCTACCCGCTCAGCCTCACTTTTGATGGAGGGTCCCAGGCAGGGGTGGGAAGCTGTGGCAGGGGCAATTCCTGCCCAGGGTTTCCAGAAGTGAGTGCACCATTGGCACATTTGAAAGAACAGAGCTAAGACAGGGATTGGGGGACTCCCAGGGATGGTGCCCAGAAGACTAAAGATGGGGAGGGGGTTGGTGCTTCCTGCCTTTCCAGACCCCAGAATCCCAATTCCCCACCTCTCTGGGCTTCCAGCCCAGGTCAGGGTGGGGCTGAGGACCAGCCCCTTGGCTGCTAGGTGGGTACTTTCTCCTCTTGAGATGAGGTAAGGGAGGGCTGGCCTCCCACTAATCTGAACCCCCAGTGTATCCCTGTACTGAGCCAGGTCCAGCTGGGGACTTATCTGCCTGGATATGTGGGCTCAGACACAAACGCCCAGGCGGGCAGGGGCTTTTCATAGCTCCTATAACAGGCCTCAAAGGACCAATGGAATTCTCAGAGACTTGATTGGTCAGAGAGGGCATTCCAGGAAGAGGATCAGCCTAAGCAAAGGCTCAGAGGAAGAGAAGCGCAATTGGGTCTGAGGCAAAGTGTTAAGGGGGTGGCAACCGAGGCTCCTCCTCTATCAGGCCATGGCATTTAGGCTTTGTCCTGAGAGTAAAGCATGGCCTCCCCTACCCTCACCCCGTCCCTCCTGGACAGGCCATAGAGCTGCCCTTGCCCCCCCTCAGCAGGAGAAGGGGTGCACAGTCTGTGGCCCTGGCACTAGACAGACATCAGACATTCCCAGTGCCAGGGGCAGGCCAGGCTGGGAAGCCCCAACACCTGACAGGGATTTCCCAGGGGCCCCTAGAGAGTCAGGGGTTCTATTCAGCCTGTGTGAGTGTAGAAGGTCCCAGCACAAACTTCCTAGAGACGTCAAAGCCAGGGACCCCCACCTCAGAGAGGTGGTCTTCCCAGGGCAGCCCCAGGGAATCATGGTATCAAAACCCAGTGGCCAGTCCTCTACCCCTTGTACCAGTCCAGGTGTCGGGGATGGTGATCCAGAGGCTTGGAAACGCAGACGATAGGAGAGCTGGGAAGTCAAATGGGACATGGCGAGGCAGCCACAGGATCCTAGCAGCACTTCTGGGCTGAGGGACAAAGGAGGGAACTGCTACTGAACCAGGTCCAGGTCCTACGCAGCAGGAACCACGCAAGCCCATGGGGCCTTGGCGGGAACCACAAAGGAAACTGGCCTGCCACAGACTGCCCACAGTCTCGAGGTGGGGGAAGAAACTCGTCTGTCTCTAGCCTCCCACTAGGGCCTCCCATTGGCTAAACACAGTGGGGAGACTGACAGAGTTGAAGGACCAATAAGGCACAATGGGAGCAGGACTCCTCCTCGGCCAAGCTGGTTCTTTCTGCAAGTCCCAGAACAGCTGAGTGCCTGCCCTGGGCCACCCTCGTCCTCAAGGTCTCATGGTCTGATGCTTCCCGAGGTGGAGCGGGTGGTCAGTGCTGTGTGTTGTGGATGTGGAAGGTCAGGGAGTGCTTCCTGGAGGAGCCTAGCTCTAGCTGAACTTAAAAGGATAAAAACCATTAGGCAAATGGGTTTAAGTAGGTGCCTACAGCTGTTCAGCAGTCTACACTGCTCAGACTCTTCTTATAGGTAGAGCACTGGACTACATTTCCCAGCATCCCTTGCAGTTGCGGTAGTCATGTGACTGAGTTCTAACCAGTGCAATGTGAACAAAAAGGAGCAGGGTACTTCCAGGCCTGGAACATCATTGCTCCCTCAGGCACATGTCCAAATTCTTTCCTCTGCTTGGGTTGATATAAGCATGATTTTGGAAGCTGCACCAACCTGGGTCCCCGGCATGAGGAAGGACCCCCTGTATACACCCTGACCTGTTTACTCATCCAGTACTGCTATAGGAACAAGAAATAAACTTCTCCCATAATTAAGCCATTGTACATTTTGGGGTCTATTTGTTGCAGGAGTTGGTCCCTCTAATTATACACCAGAGGCAAAGAAGCAAAAAGATGGCCTTACATTTTTTATTAGTGTTGAAAATAAATACTCTGTGCACAGGTTTTAAAGAGTTCGAACAGATACACCAATATTCATAGCAGCATTATTTACAATAGCCAAAAGGTGGAAGCCACCCAAGTGTCCAACGATGGATGAATGGATGTACAAATGTGGTATATATACACGATGGAATATTAGCCTTATAAAGGAAGGAAATTCTGACACACGCTACAACGTGGGTAAACCTTAAGGACATTATGCTAAGTGAAACAAGCCAGTCGCAAAAGGACAAATGTATGATTCGACTTATATGAGATAGCTAGAGTCGTCAAATTCACAGAGACAGAAAGTAGAATGGTGATTGCCAATGGCTGGGAGAGGGGGAATGGGGAGTTACTGTTTAATGGAGACAGAGTTCAGTTTTGCAAGATGAAATAGTTCTGGAGATGGATGGTGGTGATGGTTGCTCGACCATGTGAATAGACTTAATCCCACTGAATTGTATGCTTAACAATGGTTAAGATGGTAAATGTTATGTATTTTTTTTACAATTAAAATAAATTTAAACAAAACAATTTACTTAACTAGTGCCCAGTTGGTGGTCATTAAACTGTACTCAGTTTTTCGTTTCAAACACTCTTCTGCTTTGTAAAAGCGTTCAAGTTTACCTTTAGGAGAAATCCGCACAAAAGGGATTGGCTGATTAAATAGCACGTGCGCTGTTTAGCCAAGGGGAGCCTTATGGGGAGGGGAGGGGCAGCCCGAGGCCACCTATCTTGACTTCCTGGCCTTGACACCACCAACCTATGAGAGGGTCCCCTACACTCTTGTCAGCGCAAGGAGCCTTCAGATATTTTGCTCTTTGCCATTTAGATGGTACAGATCCTACATCAACTTGACTAGGCTGAACGACATTCCCAGAATTCTCTCCCCTCTATGTTTTGGGTATGGATGGTCCACAAGAGAGCCTCTTGTGCAACTCTGGGAAGGCAGAAGTGAATTGGCAGTCTTTTTTGTAGCTCACACTCTAGTGGCCTGTCTGCTGATTCAGCTGCTCTGCAGGGGCAGAAGTCAAGCCTGCAAATGCTCCACCTGCCCCTGAGGCAGAGTAGTTAGCCTTCAGAAGTCCCTGCCCTCCAGGATATGGCTCTGAAATTTTTCCTAAGTCCCTTACTCAGCCTTCTCCCTGTTTTGATTCCAAGCATGAGAAACAGGCCAAGGCCAAGAAGACGAGATAGAGACAGATGGCCTTGGGCTTGCCCCGCCCCTCCCCG